AATCTGTTAGGTAACCTTCTCTTTAGAGCACTCAGCCTTTCCAGGGGCCTATTCATCTTGAGCTGCAGCCCCTCCCTGAGAAGTTGCCACAAACATTCTGGAAGTTCCATCTCCCTGGAGCTGCCCTGGGGCCCTGCTCTACCTCAGCCTGCCCTGCATCCAGTTTCAATCCTTTTCTCCTCAGGCCTTCTATTTCTCAACCCTGAGGGCAGAGTGAAGCACACAGAAGGGGCACATTGGGTGGCAATCTAAGGGCAGCATCAGAGGCAGGAGTTGCATTGATCCCAGCTTGGGCCAGGTGGTATTCAGGACCATGGAGAGCTCACCAGCCTAGGTAGTGCCATTAAGGAGCCTCTGCTAAAAGGTAACCGTGCTAGGCACTGAGCGGGGAGGAGGGGGTATGTATAAGTGAGGAAGGCCTGGCTCTGGCCCTGTCAGGAACTCACAGCAGAAGTGGGGAACGAGATGGAACAGCTCTAACGAAGGCATAATCAAAGGATTGTTAGAACACAGGAGATGAAGGGAGCAGTTTCCTGCTTGCAAGAAGGGTGGGAAATCAGGAAGGCTTCTTGGAGGGGAAGCACTTGAGCTGAGCCTTAGAAAACAGAGAGGTTTTCAACAGGTCCAACAACTAGCTCAGGGATGGGCTCTTAGAGGCACTTAATAAATGTACTTGTTGAACAAAGGACTGGGTGGATGGATAGAGGGATGGATGAGGGGGCAAAATGGGACAAGGCAGATGTAAACAAGACGGTGCAGTGGCCCTGGAGGATACTGCTCTGTCCTGGCTTGGGAGTGGGGAAGCTGCAGCATTGAGCTCCTCCTTTCTCCCTGGGCCTGGGTGATGGATGGGTGTGGAAGGCTTCAATTACAGTGGCAGGTGACAGCACTGTCAGTCTGGTGGGAGGTGGCTGGGCGCTAGGGGAGCCCTCCTGACGGCTCTGACCCTGGTACTGGCTTGGGGGGCGGTTTGCAGGAGTGGGCAGATGCCTGCTGCAGGGGACTCCGGAGCGTCCACGCCTACATCCTGGTCTACGACATCTGCTGCTTTGACAGCTTTGAGTACGTCAAGACCATCCGCCAGCAGATCCTGGAGACGAGGTGAGGGGCAGCAACCCAGTCCATTGCCACCTCTTTGGGTGCCCCAATGCCAGCCAGTCCCCAAGAAAAGGGGACAGTCGGGGGATAGAGATAAAGCATATGTGCTCTCACATTCCCACACTCAAACCTGCACACACTCACATTTTGCTGTCCCCATTTCTGTCCACTCATTTTGGGACCCTGACCGTGGGGTGGCTAGACTAGTGCTGCGGTTAAAAGCTTGGACTCGGGGAACAAGACTGCCAGGGCCACTCAGCTGCATGACTTTGGGCCAGTTAACAGTGAAGCCTGTTTCCTCATCTGTGAAATGGGATAATAATAGTATCCCCCTTTTGGATCAGTTGTGCTGATCAGAGACTTTAACTTAGCCTCGAGGGCTTAGAGCCACGCCTGGAACAGAACGTATGGTGGTGGTAGTACTGACCAGGCACGGCCTGCCCCTCGGGGAGTCCAGCAGTTGCGAGACTGGCACTGGCAGAGTTCTGAGATTCCTGCCTCGCCCGCAGGGTGATCGGCACCTCGGAGACGCCCATCATCATCGTGGGCAACAAGCGGGACCTGCAGCGCGGACGCGTGATCCCGCGCTGGAACGTGTCGCACCTGGTGCGCAAGACCTGGAAGTGCGGCTACGTGGAGTGCTCGGCCAAGTACAACTGGCACATCCTGCTGCTCTTCAGCGAGCTGCTCAAGAGCGTCGGCTGCGCGCGTTGCAAGCACGTGCACGCCGCCCTGCGCTTCCAGGGCGCGCTGCGCCGCAACCGCTGCGCCATCATGTGACGCCCCTGCACCCCGCGCGGGCCGGCGGGCAAGGGCCAGGCTGTGTGGGGACAGCTTCCCCGGGGAGCGGGCAGGATAGAACTGCGGTGGCCTGGGCCTCAGGCGCCCCGCAACCACGCACCTCCCAGTGAGAGGCGGAGCACGAGAGGGACCCCCTCTTAACTGCTCAGTCCCCCGCCCGTTCGTGCTCCTGGGACAGCGGCCTTCGGCGCTGCAGTCAGTGCAGGGCCCGCCCGGCCCGAAGGGGCGACACAGCCTTTGGGGATTGCGGGTGCGCGTGTGAGATGGAGGGTGGGGGTGCGGAGGCGCTGCCTTGGCCGGGCCCCCATCTGTCTTCTGTGTTTCTGTCTTTGCCCGGTGTCTTCCCTTCCTGTATCTGTCTGCCCCAGCGTCTGTTGGTCCTTGTGTGTCTCACCCGACCTCCAGTCCCCTGCTGGCCCCCAGCTCCGCTCACAGGGCTCTCATTTCGTCCATCCCCTTGTCGCAGATCCTGGCAGCTGCTTTGTGAGGCCAGGCCTTCTGACCGTCAGCATCACCGGCACAGGGCAGAGTCGCAGGTGGCCCGGGGACCACAATCAAGGGGTCCAAAGGTTGAGGTCCCGGATCAGTCATGGGGAGAAAGCTGAGCTCTCTCGCTCCCAGGGAGACCTCCCCACCCAGCAGCCCCCAGAGACACAACAACCTACCTTCCAGCCTTAACTCGATGGTCCGTCCCTGCCAGGTGCCCCTCACTCTCTTCCTGACCCCAAAGCCAGATCACCCCCTGGGTTAAAACATTTTTTTTTTTTTTACAAGACTATGGAGAGGAAATCCCCCAAAGGCTAGATTCTTTCCCACGATGCCAGGTTCCAGTCCTCTATTCCCTCCTGCATCTGGTCTGCCAGATTGGGGGATGTTGAGTCCTGGGGGCTGGTGGTGGGCAGGGTGGTGCCCAGGAGGGGGTCAGGCTATACCAGGGAAGATTCTATCTCCCTGTCCCACCCTAATCTTACTACCCCAGGCTCTGCCTGCCTCAGACATCAGATTTCCCTGATTAATCTGGGGAGGAGCAGAGCCAGGAAAAGAATTGTGGAGACCCCTATGCTTGGGGGAGATAAGCCTGCATCCCCACCCATAGATGGAGGCCCTCAGGATCTGAGACCCCCTTGTCCCAACACAGTTGGCCCTACGCCCTAACTCACTCCACCTCATTTTCTCCGGCTGCCTGGCCGGGTTTCTACCTCTCGTCACCGGAGCTGATCACTGTCAGTTTTGTACCGATTTAGAAGTAACAATAATAATGAAGATTCTAGGAGTGGCCTGAGGGATTGCTGGGGGACTTGGAGGGAGGAAGAAATGGTGCCCCCTGGCCAAAGAAAGTTCTCCTTGAGGCTGAGCCCTCAGCCCTGGTCTGGTGGAAGGATATCAAGGTCCCTTGTTAGGGGCAGACAGGACAACTCAGCCTTAGCCAGCTTAGCCAGGGCTGCAGCACATGGACCAGGAAGTCAGGTAGCCCAGAGTGGGGATGGGCAGGAGTCTGGGGGAACGGTCGTGGGTGGGGAATTCATCATTGACATCCAGTGTGGGAGGGAATCTGTGGTTCTCTCTGCTGCTTCCCCAGCCGACTCCCACTCCTCCCACCCACTGGGGGTAGCACAGCCCTACAGCAACTGCCCTGACCTTGGGCAGTCCAGTGTTCTTGGGTTCTAGGCCCTGCTGTGCGGCATGACTTTGGGCAAGCGACCTCTCTGAGCCTCCCTCTGAAACAGAGGAGGCGGCTCCCCTTCCCCACACTTTGCAGTGGCTGGGAGGGTAAGGAAGAGGGCCTGCCCCTTTTGTCTCCTGCACTCCGGTCCCCTGGTTCGCCAGGGGGGTGGGGTGAGGGATGGCAGCATCTCACATGCCCCATCACCCCCAACTCTGAGGCACCTGAGGTGGGGGTGGGGGACCGAGTGCCCCCATGGAAGCCATTGGAATGTGTCGCCTGACAGGCCCCCTCCCCACCTCTGCTTCACCCCAGGTCTTGGATGTCAGGTCCCTCCACCCCCATTCTGAGTCTCTGTCCTTCCCTTTTCCCCCCACCCCCCAGGGTTTCCCATCACAGGGTCTGGAAGTGTGTGTGACGCCCATTGAGCTGTTATCGGAAGTCGGATTAAAAATCAGGGAGTGTTTTCCCTCGTTTCTGTACCAAGGTGTCAGCTCCGTTCCTCATGGTGGGAGGGGTGGGGTCCCTACAGGGCCTGCCTGCTGAGCTCTGTGTGGAAGGGGGGTGAAGGTGATGACACGCCCCTGTCCCAAAGTCCAGGTTGACCAGGACATCAAAGGGGAAGAGTTGGGACTTATCTCCTTTCCACCTAACCCGAACCGTCCAGCTAATTAAAACCATCCAGAAGGGAAGTGTAACTTCTCCCCTACCACTGTCTCTGGAAAATTTCAATCCCAGCTTCTGCTTCTCCCTCCCACTCAGGGCTGAGCCTTTGAGAACTCTCGGTGTAACTTCTGGGGTATAGGTGTGTTAGGAATGCTCTCAGCTCCCTCTCCACCTGGAGTGATCTCACCTCCCAACCCCCAGAGCAAAGCTTTGAAGCCCTGGGCAAGGGTGGCTTGTTTGCAGGAGCCCGTGTGTTGGGGTGGCCTTGTCCCTGTCCGTGGTGCTGACCCACCAGCCACTTCCAGGAAAGATGGGCTGTCTGGCAAGGTTGGCTGAGCCTCAAGGGAGGATGCCTCTCTCAGCCCCACTCCCTCCCACTTGTCCCCATTCCCCATCCCCTCCAGTGGGATGACATTTGAAGCTACTCCTTCCTGCACCACCACAGTCCTAGAGTGAGGGACTCCAGAAGCTGGGGTGTCAAGGACAGACCCACATGTGTTTAATAATTTACAGGACTTGCAGAAATGAGGGGCATGGCTAGAGGCCAGGAGTTTTGGGAGCTGTTCTGGGGGAGGGGCCCCCCGCCCCTGGCCTTCCTCTGGAGTGGGAGTGGGAACGATGGGTTGCCCCTTTGCTCAAATGAACAGATTGAGGCTGTATTTGTTCTCTGCCTGCCCCCGGCCTGGGCCCTGTCTTGTGGGCCTGCAGCGGTGAATCCAGTGGATACATAGGTGCCTTTTTTGCTGCCCTCCTCTGCAGCGCCCTCAGGCCCTTAGACCCAGGACTCCTCCTCAGGTGGGAGCGGGGCTTGGTCAGGCTGCTGTGGCCCCAGACCCCCCAAAGGCTGTGGGTTGCTCTCCAGTGGGGCGGCTGGCTCTTTCTTCTCCTTTTCTTCCTCCTTCTCACCTGCTGACACTCCAGCCACTGGAGAAGCCTCCCCTCCCTTGCTGCCCTGCCTGGCCCTCAACAGCCTGCCCCTGGGGGGCGCCCTGGCTGGACCCAGGCAGAAGTAGGCCAGTGGCTTGGGGATTCTCGAAGGCCGCTTCTCAGGCCTGTGGTCTCTCCGGGGCCGGATCTTGGGCCTCAGCTTCAGCTTGTAGATGGATGGGACCCTCTGGGGTTTCCGGAGTGTTCTCTTGCCCTTGTCTAGACATGCCTTGGCTTTGTCAGAACTGGGGTTCGAGGGCAAAGGTGTGGGGGCTTCCGGGCTGGCAGACACAGTAGGGGCTGAGCAGTCGTGCCCTCCTTGAGGTGGGACCTTCCTCATGCTGGTGCCCTTGGCACTCAGGCTCTTGGCACTTGCCTCTGTCCTTGGCCTACTCTCTCTGGCTCCCAGCTTCCCTTCTGGGCTTCCTGGGCCCGCAGTACCAGCTGGCTTAGGGCAGCATGTCGGGGCTGCCTTCCAGGCTTCCAGATCCACTTTAAAGAGGGGTGGGGGGCCCTGGGCTAGTTCTTGGATAACTCTGTCATACGGACTCCCAGGCTCAGGCCACCGTCCACCCAGGCTGGGGACGTAGACTCCACTTCGAGGAATGACCCTAGACCCTGTACCCTGGGGACAGGCACCCCCCACCTCTAGCAGCTTCATCTTGGCCAAAATCTCCTCTTCAAGGCTGTGGTGGATGGCTTGCTCCCTGGTGCGGCTCAGGGGCAGGGGAGTGTGCCTTCCCTCCCACTCCTGTGGGCCCCGGCCCCAGGGCTCTCCAGCCTCTGCTGTGTCCTGGATGTCCCACTTCTGATCCCTGTGCCTTGCTTCCACAGAGCAGTCCTCATGTCTGGACTCCGCCAGGTCCCCAGTGATGGCCCTTAACGGGATGGGACCTCTCCCAAGTTCTGTCCTGGGACTTTCACATGCAGCACCTGGAAAGCTTCTTCCTGGTGTAGGGGGGCGGGCAGGTGGCAGCCGGATGGGGATCTTGGTGAGTCCTTTAACAGGGGATGGAGGACGGACAGGTGCTGGCTTGCTGAGCTGGGTGAAAGCACCCTTGGCCTCATCCCAGAGTGGCAGCCTGAGGCCGAGGGGCTTGGCTAGGCTAGAGGAACGAGGCGGGGGAGATGGTCCTCGTGCTGATGTTCCCTTGGTGGTGGCCTCAGGGGCTCGGAGTCTTTGGGGCCTTGGGGTCCCAGCTGGGGCTCCCTGGCTGTCTTTTTCCTCATGAACCCAAGATGTGGGAGTCCTTCCCCTGGGGAGTTCAGGGGGATATCTGTCCTCCCTCTTCCCGGACAAGGTACACTGTGTGTCTCGGCCCCTGTGGGTGAATGAGGACCGGGGGCTGGGTGGACTATGCCCAACTGGCAGCTGCCTCCGAGATGGGGTGAGAGACCTCTCCTGGCACCTGAAAGGGAGAATCACAAGGCTGGAAAGGGGGACTTGTGAGGCCGGCAGTGTGGGCTAGTGCAGTCGCCTGGCTCTGGGGAGGGATGGTCTTTCCCCAGGGAGACGCCAAGGCGGCTAGACTTCGTGCTGAATGAAACACGTGGCGGCCACTGTTTCCGTCTATTCTCCCTTGTTCCCTGTGTAGCAGATAGAAGGAAGCCTGGTCCAGGCCTGGGGTTAGAGCTTTCGAGGGGTGATCCCAGACCAGAGGTCTGGCAACCAGGGGTCACTAGCAGCTTCATCTTGGTGGGGGGTGGTGGGTAAGGCAGAGAATCTTGGGTAAGTCTGTTCCTTGTCTGAGCCTCAGCCTCCTCATCTGTAAAGGATGTGAAGGAACCAGACGATCCCAAAGTTCCTGGTGCCTTTTCAGTTCAGAACACCTGAGGTCTTGTTGGGGTAAGGGCACTGCTGGGGACCTGCTCTCTTTATCTTGGAATGAGGTGGCCTCTGAGAACGTGGACTCCAAAGGAAAAGTAGGCCCTTCCCTGAGAACCCCCCCATACCTGAGAACCCCCGCCCCTGCTCCCCGCTCACTGCGGGGTCTGGGTGAGGAGGCGGTGGGGGGCCTCAGCTTTTGGCCTGAAGAAGTATATGTCTTCCAGTCCACGGGGGGCAGTGGGCTCTGGGAGCGGCTGATGGTCATCGTAGGCTGGGGCTGCGAGGGGCTGTCCTGCACCCTCACTTCGTGCTGCACCGGTGGGGCTGGGGGCTTCAGGAGGCTGCCCGGCTTGTGCGCTACCAACACCGTCCCCCAGAAAAAGGAGAGGAGGGAAGGGTTCAATCCCTGCCTATGGGGCCCATTGTTCCCCACCCCGGCTGTCCCTTGCCTCTTATCCCACATTAAAAACAGTGGGACCTAAAGTGGCAGCACCAGAGTTTCCTTCCAGGGGACATAACCTGGTCACAGGCCCAGCGAGGAGCTTGTTTAAAGCTGCATTTGTATGGCAGGTCCACAACTTTTAATTAGAGTATGTGCTTATTTGGGGTGGCTTGAGGTGCTGATGGAATTTCGGAAGGACCTTCCAAGTCATGCTTGGTGCCACCACTGTGGACCCCAGAGCCAGCCCTAAGCTCTGCGGGGAGGCACCCTGACCAAATGCTGGTTCTGCGTGTGTTGCGCACCATCTCGTGGCTACAATTAGTACTGCGCCCTGACTGCCCAGCCATGGTGTCTTCCTTCCTCCAGCCTCCCCCGCCCCTCCCCACACCCCTCTTACCCCTGCAGATCAGACCTACCTCCCACCTGCTTCCGGCCTCCCGACCAAGAGCTACACCTCTCCAACCAGCCCCACAGAAAGAGGACTCTCAGGGGACTCACAGAGGGACGTGCACCGGCAGGGGTCATGTTTGTCCAGATAATGGCCCAGCGTGTCCCAGCCGCCCCCCACACGTACCATCACGTGGTTCCGGAGGATCTGAGGGGGCAACCAGGTGAGGTTAAGGGCAGGGCGGAGGTTATCCCCTCTTCCTGGACCAGCTTGCAGGCTTCCAGCACGCACTCAGGGATCCTCCCGTCCATGTACGCATGCGCACGCAGATACTCCCTTGTACACGTGTGTGGTTGGGAGCGTGTATATTTTTGCAGCCTGAGTCTCCTCCATGACTGGCATTGGATGACACATGTTGTCAAGGGTAGGGGCCAGGCTGGCAAACAGAAAGTTGCCCCACGACTGGACCAGGGCTCTCACAGGCACTGTGTAACCCAGAGCACTCCTTTCTGTCCCTTCGCTGGAAAGGGTTTTGCGCCTGCACACGCTTGTACCTGAAATGGGGACCTAATGCCGCTGGCTTTGCCTCTGTGGTGTGTATGAACGAGCCCATGGGCATCCCAGCCCCACTCCTCTCTGGGAAAGGTCATGTAGTCTCTCCAAGCTTCAGTTTCCTCTGTCAAAAAGGGGGCCACCATTCCTTGCTCCTACCTACTTCACCAGGCTATTGCCTCAGGGTCCAGGTGAGGGCCCAGGGAGCCGGCTCAGGTGTGGCCTGTGCCCAAGGAAAGGGCTTGGCCATGCCTCAAGCTGGGGGCCACCCCCATGGGTACAGGTGCTGGTGAGGCACAGCCAGGTATTGGGGCACATTTCAGACCTGTACTACTACTCACTGCAGAATATACCCAGCCAGACATGCAAAGGGGAGGGGACTAGGGCATCCACGTGGCTGGGGCCATGCACTGAACACAGACTTGGGGTTCTCAGGCCCCTTGCTCTGACCAAGCCAGCAGGTGGAGTGGAGTGGAAAAGTGGGGGTGCTCTTCTCTGTACCCCACTTCTGCCTGGGGACTAGGCTCTAGACTGCCTCTAGACTAGGCTAAGTTGGAGGTGACGGAGGGTGGTGGTTCTGGCTGCCCTGATGGGAAGAGAGAATAGACTTGCCAGCTTTGCCAGACTATCTTGGAATTCTCCCAGGGAGAGAAGGAGAGCTCCAAAGCCTGATGGCTTGGGGTGAATGGTGACTTCCTGTCATTGTCCTCAGGCCCCACGGAAAGGAACGCTATTCTGTTGAGGATGCCGGGAGCCCCTCAACCCCCAGCTGGACTTACCCGGATGAAGATGAGGGTGTTGGAGTCCCCGACTCGGTACTTCCCCTCAGACACCTTGACCATGGAGAACTGCACTGGGCACGTGCAGCGGCTCACGAGGCTCTGCACCTGTGGGACGTGGCAGTGAGATCGGCCCTCTCCCCTGCCCAGGCGCCCAAGGTTCCCCTCCGCCCATGCTGCATCAAACTAAATGGGGGGCCTGCCTGCCCCCAGAGCCACCCCGAGCTTTCTGCTGAGATCAGACTAGGGTCTGAGAAGCAAGTAGAAAGTAGAGAAGATGGTAAGTGACAGAACGAGACCTGGAGTGGCCACCTGTGGACCTACGGACCGGCATCCCGGGGGTCAGCTGATGGGGGCAGAGGAGTGCAATGGTTAAGAAACTCCCCCTGAGTTCCATTTTGCCCAGCAGTAGAAACGGGGTGAGAGCGAGCTGCTATGAAGCGCCCCCTCTGTTCAGACACTGTCCCAAGCGCTTTGTACGCGCTGGCTCCTTAACGCTCACAGCACTCATAGACTGTTATGGTGCTGTTATGGTCCCCGTGCTGCAGATAAGGAAGCCGGGCATGGAGAGCCTAAATAATTTGCCCAAAGTCACACAGCCACGACGTAGTGGCTAAGACTGGAACCGGAGTGTCACAGAGGATGCCAGAGTCTGTGTTTTTGAAAACTGTCCTACTAGGGTTAAACCAGGCGGGTGTAGCATGCTGCCTTGGTAATAAAGCTTCGTAAATGGCACAGCCATTACTACGTGTGGTTAGGGGCCGGGCGCGGTGGCTCACGCCTGTAATCCTGGCACTCTGGGAGGCAGAGGTGGGAGGATCACTTGAGGTCAGGAGTCCCAGACCAGCCTGAGCAAGAGCCAGACCCCGTCTCTACTAAAAATAGAAAAAATTAGCCTGGCGTGGGAGGCGTGCACCCGTAGTCCCAGCTACTCCAGAGGCTGAGGCAGGAGGATCACTTGAGCCCGGGAGTTTGAGGTTGCACGGTGGGTGCCAGGGCACTCGCCTGGGCATCAGAGTGAGACTCTGTCTCAGCAGAAAACAAAAAACAAAAGGAAAAAGTGTAAAAAACTACATGCAGTTGGGGGGGAGGCTAAGAGGGGAAGGCGACTTGCTCAAAGCCACAGTGCGTTAGTGTCAGGGTGGGGACAGGAGCTCAAGAGCGGGGTGGCCCAACAAGGGCTGGAGCGGGATGGGGACAGGAGGGCGGGGAGGAAGGGGCCTCGAGGGCGCGTGCAGAGCCCTCACCATCTGGTCCAGGTTGCGGAAGTGGCAGGGCCGGCGCGTGGGGGGCGCGGGCGGCGGGGGGTCGGGCGGGGGCAGGGCCAGCTCCCGCCGCAGCTCATCGTCGATCTCCTCCTCCAGCTGCACCAGGGTGGGCGCGGCGACGCCGAAGCGCCAGGCGCGGCGGCCCAGCTCCAGCAGGCACAGCACCACGTTCTTCACGTTCTTGCGCAGCACCAAGTCCTCCGTCTCGAACATCAGCACCTCTGCGGGGGTGGGGGGAACGTGAGCCCCTGCGGACCTCCGGGGGGGGGAGGGAAAGGGGGAATCATCCCGGGTGCAGGTGGCAGACTTGGGGGGTGGTTTGGGTCTCAGGATCCTGGGGTCCCGTCTGTCAGCCCCCTGGGAGGAATCTGGGCAGAACTGCTCAGATGCTGGGTGCAGACAAGGTGGCGCACGGCACAGGAGAGGCTGGGGGTGGGAAGAACTGAAGGGTTAAGTCCACCCTCCCCCCTCCCCACTCGGCTTCTTGCCAGGGTGGGTCCAGAAGCAGGAAGTAGTTTGTTCTACTTCCCACCCATGCCTCTCACCTGAGACATCCACCAGGTAACTCCAACTCAATCCCCCAGCCCAGGTATAACCAGGCAGGGTTGAGTGCAGGCTCTGGAGCCGACCACTAAGGTTGGAGTCCTGACTCTCCCACTACCAGCTGCATGACCTTGAGCTGGGCCCTGAGCCTCAGTTTCCTGCTCTGTAAAATGGGGATGTAGTCTATTTCACGGAGTTGTTGTGAGGACTGGATGAGCTGATAGTTGTTAAGCATTCACTGACGGTGACTGGCACACGTATGCGCTCCATGAAACACTAGCTTGTGATCGCCCTCCTGTCCTGCTCCCACTGCTGTGCCACCAGCCAGCAGCCCAGGCTTAACCCTTCCCCAGTGTCTCCCCCACCACCTTTGGCCTGGAGGATGGCGCAACATCCAACCTCATCCCACTCCTGGGTCTGAGGCCAGAGAGATGAGGGATCCTGACATGTCACCCCCAAGTCCTACAAGCCCCAGCACGACAAGGCCCCTCCCTCCTCCCTGCACTCCCTCACCACCCCTGGCTTCTCCCAGTCATCGAAACACAGTACCGTCTCTGTGCCTTTGCCCTGGTCCCCCGCCTAGAATTCCCTTCCTCCAAACCTTCTAATTATTCCTCAAGACTCAGCCAAATCTCCTTCCTCTATGAAGCCTCTCTTGGCTCCCACTTCCACCTCATGGGGTCGCTGTCTCCTGCCCTGGGAGCGCTACACCTCTGCTTTGAGCGTCCATCACAGTGAGCTGTAATTTACAGATCTCCTCACCTGTCTCTCTTGCTAGACCATGAATTCCTCAGGCACGGGGTTTCATTCCTTTCAGTTCTTAGTGCCCAGCACAGTGCTCAACACAGAAGAGGTACTCGACATATGTTTGTTGAATGAATCATCAACAAACATTTATCAATCATCAACACATTTATTTATTGAGGATTTACTATGAGATGAGGAAAATGAGACATGAAAAGAGGTGAGCTGGCCCAAGGCGAATCTGCAAGGAGGACCCAGGCCGGGCCCTCCAAGAGGGGATGGATGCCCTGAAAGATAAGGGTCTGGGATGGGGTGGGGGTCCAGGGCAGTTACCTTGGATGCCCATCTCCTTGCGACACCACTGGATGAAGTTGGAGACATTGTCCCTGGCCTGGAAGGTACCTGGCTGGGCGGCCCCGTTGCAGAAAACACCAGCCCGGGGCATGGGAATCCTCTGGGCTCGGGCAGGTGCCTCAGCCAGGAAGGCCAGGGCAGCCTCGGTGACGGTGTTGGCATGCCGGCACAGCACCAGGCCCGTCTCCAGCACCTGCAGGAAGTTGGCCGCGTCGATGTCCAGCCCGTAGAGATCCCGAAGCCACTCAGCCAGGTCTTCCTTCATGGCCTCCAGGTACTGCTCACTGGACTTGAAGGGCCGGATGCTGCGCACAGGAGGCCCCAGGGGCCCAGACCTCCTCTTGTGCCCCCCAGGCTGGGACATGGCTGGACTCTCAGCAGGGGACGAGTGGGCACCTCCTCTCTCCTACTGCTGCCTCTTTGCTCCTGCCACCTGCTGGGTCTCCGCCCGGTTCTCCCTGATTCAGAGATTCCCCTTCTACCCCCCCAGAGCCCAGGACTTCCAGCTCTGCTACTTGCCGCTGGCTTCAGCCGCCGGGCCAGGCCTGGCCCCCACTGCCCCACATTCCTCAGTCCCTGCCAGAACTTTCCCTGCTTGGTGGCCGTTTAGCGACCTCACTCCGCAGCTGCCCCGTCTGCTCAGTGTTCACCACTTCCCAGGGTGGGGTGGAGGTGAGGTCATTCCTCTCTTCCCCAGGGCTGGACAGGTCAAGCTGGCCGCCTCCCACCCTCCATCGGCCTTGGAGCCTGGCGTGGCTGTCGGCCTCCCTGCTCTGCTTTCCTCTCCTCTCCTTGGAGACAGCGGCTGCTACAAACACTCCTTGTTAACCCTTCCCGGCAGGCAAGCACGGCCCTGCCTAGCGGGGGAGAGGGAGGAGAGGCTGGGGCCGATACTTTCACATACACTATTCCTTCACCCTCCCTGGGCCAACCAGGTGGGGACTCCAGAAAAATGGGGGGAGCAGGGGCGGGGGTGCCATGCCCCTTGGTATTTAGCGAGCATGGGAGGGTGGAGATGAAAACCACACAGCAATAGAGTCCAAAGACATGAGTTTAGCCCTAAATCCCCATGTGCCCATCAGATAGTACCTAGCCTCTCTGTGCCTTAGTTCCTCAACTGTAGAATGGGAATAATGTTCTACCTCTCTGTGGAGTTGCGAGGAATAAAGAATTAATATATGTGAAAGGATCAGACCATCAGGACACACAGGCACGGGTCTGGGTGGGTACGGCTCTCAGTGATTCTCCTGGCAGGTGCCTAGCACCATGCCCCTCTCTTTCTCTAGAGAGCTCGCTCCATCCCCCACGCTAACCACGCAGTAGATCATAGTATCTCGCCCCCATGGCCACAGCAATGCATTCATTCAGCAAATATTTCTTGAGCACCTGCTATATTTGCTAACTCTTGGATTACATGAATCAATAAATTCCTTTTTTTTTTTGTCTTTTTCAGTTAAACACAAATTTTATTTTTTGACCAGTCTGGGTAGGAAAGGAATTTAAATATACGTGTTAAATGAAAGAGAACTGTGATAGGCATGCAGTTAATTCTGAAGGAGAATGGATTCATTCCATTTGGAAAATTTAATGAAATGAATAGAATTTGAGCTGGGCTTTGAATAAGAAATGAAAAATCGTGTGTTCACATTTTTACTAGGTCAGAGAACACCTTAATTAATAGGAAGACACAGATGGAGCAGTGACAGAGGAAGGGTACACCTACTCTTTTATTCTAAAGCTAGTTTGAATTGGTTTACTGTCAATTATAGCCAAAGTGAATTTGGAAGAAAAAAGTATAGTGAAAAAAGTGGATTTCTTCTCCCCCCTGCCGGTGCAGATCCTGCCTGTAACCTATAAAAGGCGTAGATTTTACAGCGTAGATTCTGAGTGCTCATGCTTGCTTGGGCAGTTCCCCATCTGGAGGGAGTATGGTTTGCCTTTGGAAGCTCAGCAGGCCCCACTCTTGTTGGCCAGTCATGGGCACGTGAGCTGAGCTCTCCCAATCAGACCCACCCACCTGGGGGCCATGACATGGAGCCGGTGGTACCCAGAAGCAGTAAGGAATTCATTATGGGGGCAGCCCTGGCGACACTCATGCCTAGTTCCCAGAACTGCAGGGACAGGAGTCAGGGGTTCAATGTTTCATGATCCATGTTCTGTGCTAGAATTTTAGCTGTGATGCTGGGTCCCCAGGTCACCTTCATCCTGCCTGTTTGGGGAACCCGGTTCTTCGACCTTCCTGTTGATCCTGTGGGCTAGCCAATAACTTTTCAGGACATTTCTTTTCTGCTCGATTTAGCCAGTGTTGTTTTCCTGTTGATGACAACGAAGACCCCTACTGACGTGCACACACATCCTTCAGGGCTCGGGAGAAGACTGAACTTGCCTCCTGAGCCCTCCACCCAGGGCTCACATGACCCTTCTCCTTTCAGCTCTTACGCTCTCCTGCTGTGCGTACCAGTTGGAAAGGTGACTCTAGCCCTGGGGGTTTGGAACTGTAGCCAGGTTGGGAAGAGGAACATCAAGTTGCTTTCTTCTTCCAGCCCAGTAGGGGCAGTGGGAGTGAGGCTGTAGCAAGCAAGATCTTTAACTTACCAAGTTTTCATGTGTCCTCATCCATAAAATGAGTACAATAACCATAGTCTCGTTGCCTTTGGAAAATAATTGAAATAAACTAATGAAAAATGCTTTGGAAATTAAAAGAAAAAGATACCTGAGTTTATATAGTAGCAACTCAGAGCTGACTGTTGAATGCACAGTAGGAAGAGTGTGCTTTGGAGTCAGACAAGATAAGATAGGCCTGGATTTGAAATTTGACTTTACCACTTAGAAACTGAGACTTTGGGTAAGTCACATCTCATTTCAAAGTTTCAGTTTGCTCAACTGTAAAATGGGGGCCGTCGTCCCACAGAGCTGCTATGAGGAATCAAGGATAGAGTTCATGCTCAGTGCCTTTGTACAAAGTAGGTGCTTTTGAAAGACATTGTTGGTCCTATACCTGTCATCTATTGCTGCATAATAAATTTAGCAGCTTAAAACTTAGCAGCTTAAAACAGCAGTAAGCACATAGTTATCTCAGATTCCGTGGGTCAGGAACTCAGGTGCAGTTTAGCTGGGTGGTTCTAGCTGCGTCTTCCATGAGGTGGCAGTCAAGATATCAGCAAGGTCTGCAGTCATTGAAGGCTTCACTGGGGTTTCCAAGATGGCTCATGCTCATGGCCGGCAAGTTGGTCCGGCTGTTGGAAGGAGGCCTCAGCTCTTTACTACACAGACCTCTCCATAGGTTGATTGAGCATCCTCACGACATGCTCTTGCTTTTTCCAAGAGAGAGCGCAGACAGAAGCCACAACATCTTTCATCACCTAGCCTCAAAAATCACACATCATTATTTCTACAATATCCTGTTGGTTACTCAGATCTGTCTTATTTCATGTGGGTGCATGAATACCAGGAAACAAGGATTACTGCGAGACATCTTGGAGGCTGGCTCCCCCATACAGAAGAGCCATTTCTTTTTCTTTCTTGCTAATAGAATCCTGTTTTTGTTCAGATAACAGGTAGTGTTTCCTTGAAATTAGGGAATGTGGGCCCAACCCCAGAGGGAGAACCATGATAGGTCTAAGTCAATCATAGCAGAGTTAAAAATCAAAGTTTCTGCCAAGGCTTCAAGACACCATAGATGCAACAAGCCAGAAAAGGAATAAAGACCATATGCAGAATTTATCTAGGAATCATCCTTGATTCTTAGACTTCTCTCCCACCTAGAGTAAATGAAGAATTGAGTGGTTACAGATTTGGAGAGGATTAGTAAAGATTTATTTAGAGAATGTTGCAGCTGTGTCTTGTGGTAGGCTGAATAATGGACTCAAAAGATAGCCACTTCTTAACCCCCAGCACCTGTGACTGTCACCTTATATGGCAGAAGGGATTTTGCAGATATAATTAAGGATCTTGAGATGGGGAAATTAGCCAGATTGTCGGTATGGGCCCTAAATGTAACCACAGGGGTGAGGCAGAGAGAGATGTGACTACAGAAATAGGAGATATGACAACCAAAGCAGAGATTAGAGTGATGGGGCCACAAGCCAGGAATGCCAGCAGTCTTTAGAAGCTGGAAGAAGCAAGGAACAGATTCTTTTCTGGAATCTCCAGAAAGAACCAGCTCTGCTGATACCTTGATTTTAGCCCCATAGCACTCATTCCTGACTTGTGACCTGCAGAATTGCAAAAGAATAACTCTGTATTGTTATGAGCCACTAAGTTTGTGATAATTCATTACAGCAGCAATAGGAAACTAGTACATGTCACCATCTCTCCCCTCTTCTCCCACCCAAAAAGGGGAGAAGCAGCAGTATGAGTTTCAATGGGACCACTCAAAGAACTGGACACATGTCCCCTGTGATTAAGGGGACTCGGTGGACTGAAGTCTGACATGGAAAATCAAATGTGAGACACGGGCTGGTGAACTGCTCCACAGTGGGACAAAGGAGAACGGCTGTATTGAAACGAGCGGGTCCTCTCACAGTTTGAACAGAGAATGTGGGAGTGTTTCCTGCGGACCACTCGTCAGGGGGAAGACGGAGAGAGACTGTCTGAGATCTTGTTCAGTGGGGCCTCCTGGAAGGTGAACAGGCCTCGGTGGAGGGGAAGCTGGAAGTGGACCATCCTGCACCCTGAGGATTGCAGAGGAAAGAGCAACCCCAGAATTCAGTGTATCCTGGATCAAAGGAACTGCCTGGATTGGGGCAAGGAAAGACCAGTGTTTGGGCGGCTGAGGAGGAAGGAGAGACTGGGAACGAGGGTAGAGGGACCGTGTCTTCTGTCCTCCACACCATCCTATTTGCAGGCCACTGGCCATGGCAGGCCACAGCCGGGGGGGGAAGGAAAGATGTAGCATATATCAGCTTTCAGTGACCACAGGGTTTTCTACTTCCTGACAATGCCCAGGACAGGTCCTAGGGCCTGCCTGAGTTGTCCTCCAGGGACAAGGGAAACCCTTGAGCAGGTTTAAAAGAACAGTAGGAGGCAAAACTGAAATTGTTTTATAACTATGCTCCACGAGTCCTACTTGATCAAAGGTACCAATTCCAACCAACTAGTCTAAGCCAATCTTGGCAACCCCCTTTTTGCCATTGGTTGGTGTAGGAATGGGTTTGTGCCCTAGTTCTGGCCAATGAGATTCAAAGAGAAGTCTGCTGGAGAGCTTCTGAGAAGTCTCTGCCACGCATCCCTTTTCTTCCTGCTCTAGTCGTAGTTGCATGAGGCTATAATGCT